CCTATGCTGTAAAATGTATTATCTCTTCGATTTACACACGGCATCTATTGAGGTTTCTCCCATTTTTCCCTTCAAACTGTGGGTTTTCTCCGGAAGTTTTTCCTTGTACGATGTGAGGGTCAAAGGACAGAAGGTGTCGTTTTTTCTCATACTGATATTCTGAACAATCTGTGCTGTTGTATTAGCTGTAAAGTGTCTCTACTGTAGGCTATTTTTATTATATGTACAGCACTTTGGCTCAACCAAAAATGGTTTATAAATGTGCTATATAAATAAAACTTGATTTGATTTGGTAATTCAAGAAGCAGGTAACAGTCCCCATTAGAGAGCAGAACTCAAACATTCTCCCAATTTTTTGCTGAACAAACATTCAATTTACAATAAATCATTTTATTTCTGCTTTGTCTCTTTGAATCTCGTCCAATCCCTCCCTCTGTGCATCAATGACAGATTCATAAGGAGCTATTATCTGTATCCTGCTCCAATCTAAAGCCCTGTGTGCCTTCAGAGGAAAGAGCTCCTGAAGAATAGCCTTACTTGATGACAATCACAGTTTCCAATTCACGGTCGCCAGCTGAAGCACAGCAACCGCCGCAGGGTTATTATCACAGTTCTCCTCTGGTGACATCCTCAGCCCTATTCTTCAAGGTCTTTAAGAGTGTCGGAAAGCAATCCAAAGGATGTACGATTATCTCTGCCGAGCTGAAAGGGGATTCAATTGTCTAGCAAGAGGATTTATATATCCTGCTGATGTAAATACAAAGTTTAAGCGCTTTTCCTGAGGATTACAATGATGAGTGTTCAAACATACACACTTAAGGAATTAAGTCATGTATGATTTATTTGGCAGCCAGAGTGTTGTACTCCCATAAAGTTGGTTGCCCTGGATATAAAAAGCCAACATATCTAAGTAAGTAATAGCCTTTTCTTGTAAGACATGCTCTCACTGAGTCAGGGGTCAGTGCTCTACCTGATGGAGACCACTGCCCCTTGACAACAGGTTGCTAAGAGGACCGCAATGGAGCATAATTTGCATCCTGGGCCCACCCAACCTATCTTTAATCTGCTTGCCAACACCTATGCCAATTGTTTAAGCATTATCTTCCCTCGTACCTGACACCATTGATCCTTTAAAGGCACCCTTGTGAAATTAGGCTACTCATTCATGTTGGTCCTAATAATATCCAAAGGGTGCAATTAGAACTCGTCTATCTGAATCCATTCATCTGAAGTTAACTCAGCTATACCAGTCAGTATCTCTAAGAGTTAGATTTATTTAAAAACAGAACAATCTTAACCCTACACTTGTGTATTTTCCCAATAACATTTAAAAATGTCCATTTAAATTCCAGTTTTAAACCCATTGAGCCTAATTTGTAAATGGCTATTAATTAATTATAGTTACAATTAGTGACAGTTCTTAATGACTGCAGGCAATATGAGTAGGCACCAAAGCCCAAGGGAAATGTTGTTTTAATCACATTTAAATATATTCATAAAGTATGAATTAATCATTTATACCTAACGTGTACCAAATCTTACTTATCTTAAAGCTAAAATCCCCATCATAAATTAAAATATATAGTGATGTTGTATCACAAAATTCCCACTTGCAAGTGATGTGTTGCTGATTAGTATGTTCCTCAGGACCATGGGAATCGTCATCTGAAGACACTATTGAACCTTATATGTTCCTCATGTCATCAACATAAAAAAATCAATCACACACACACACGCCTCGCAAGTTCTTCCTTTTTATAGTCAACCACCGCTGCAATAATAGCCTTCCTCCAAAGCAAGCTCCAGGGGTGTGTACACCATTAATATCTCTTAAGGTCCATGTATTGTTTGTCTCCTTGTTGTGAAAATATAGCACGTGCTAACACTGTAATGTTTTAATAAATATAGCAACAAATATGGAGCCATAACACTTGTCCTACAAGACAAATATCTGAAATGATGCTCTGTTATGAAGCACAAAAGGCATGACGTGTACTGACCATTTGAATCCTTGGTCCCTTTGATTGTTGTTAATGTCACAGTATTCTCATTCTGAAACAGGACTAACTAGCCTGCCTGCTACATTGATTTCAATTCCATTCAAATAGCTTTATTGGCATGACCATAATGACATACAGCCTTGCCAATGTATAAAGGTAATACAGTATATTTCTCTGCAAAAACAAATTTACAGTTATATTGTAAGTTAAAAGCTTATTTAACAGGCTTGGAATCACTCAGGGGAATGGCATGAAGGCCATTACCGTAATTTTCGGACTATAAGGCGCACCTGAATATAAGCCGCAGCAGCTAAATTGAATGATGTGTACATATATAAGCCGCACTGGACTATAAGCTGCAGTGCAATAGTAAGCTAGCACAGACATGCTACTGGCCTGGTAACTGTACTGATCACATAGCGTTTCAGGACACACAAACTTTTCACTTCAAACGTAAAACCGGGCCGCGTCCCAGCGCCGTACCGCCAGGGTTGATCACAGCAGGTTTCAACCAGTGGTCGGGACAAGGACTGTCTCGGCTCTGCCGTAATGTCTCGTCTTGCCTCTTCCTCCGTCTCTCTACCACTCTCGGTTCCACTTTTACTTGCGCGCCTACGTCTCACTCTTTCGGGCTCCAGCTGTTTCCTGCTCGAGCGCGCCGCTAAGGGGGGGCGCCGGAGCGGGCCCATAAGCCCATAGAGTTAAAGGTGGGTGCGTATAGCTACTAAAAAGTCCATAGATTAGCCGCACCGTTATATAAGCCGCAGGGTCGAAAAATGGGAAAAAAGGCGCGGCTTATAGTCCGAAAATTACGGTAGTTATATTCACAACTATGAAAAGCAGAAACTGAGACGTTTGCTGTCTGTCCGTCTGTCAATCTCCCCAGCTCCATTTCAGTGTTATGGACAACAGCGCACCTTCATCTCACAATTTTTTATTCAACAGAATAAGAAACCAATCACAAACAGAATCACCATTCAGACCACTCTGCAGTGTTCCTATTTCACGTTTCATTTTATCTGAAATTGCAGTTTAGCTTCAATAAGAGCCTTTCAGTTAAGGTAGCTTCACTTGATGGTCCGTGTGGAAAGGATAGTTCACATCAATTTATCATTGCTCGGTACAGCCTTGTTTGACAGTGACACAACTCTTTTGCAGTTTAATGACGGATGTAAACCTTAGCTCAAAGCCTCGGTGAAATCAAAACATGTAACTGCAAAAAATAACTGTCACAAAACAGAATGTTCTATTGTTGGACTTTTTTTTTTGGTTGGTGATGGAAATTACCCCAGAATGTTTTCTAAGACATGGCTTAAAGGGGACCTATCATGCAAAATGCGCTTTCTGATGTCTTTTATACATAAATATGTGTCCCCGGTGTGTCGGGGAACTCACGCAGCATCAGAAAATAAAACCCTCTCTCTTTTCCTCCGTACCCAAATCTCTAAAAACGGGGGAACAACGGAGCTGATCCAGATTTGCGTCCGATATGAGGTAATATCTGAAATGTGGACCCACGGCACTATCAGAAACGTTGCTATCAGAAACAATGCCTGACTGTTTTGGACGTAATATGGTCGGTGTTTACATTAGCATCGCTAACACTCAGAGCTAACCTGTACTGGAGAGCATGTGTGTGAAGAAGCAGGAAATAAAAGGAACTCACCTTGTGGTATAACCGGCAAGAGAGAAAGCCTTTGAGCTCCATACTGTTTCAGAAATAATCCTTGATAATCCATGATATAGCGTTTCATCACGGCAGTATTTAGTTTAGACAGTAGCTGCCGGGTTCCGCATGAGCTCAGCCCCCTCCTTTTTTTATGGCTTCATACCCCAAATCGGCACTTTAGAAACAGGAAGTGAAATAGAGGGATGTGAGGCATGGCTACAATGGGTGATCTATTTGGTATTTTGAGCAAAACACTTCATAGACATGTTTTTTATATTTTTTTATATATCTGAGACCTATGCTATTGCCTACAAATAGCATGACAGGTGACCTTTAATTGGCTGTTTAAGTTCTTTGTGTGGCCTTTTTATGCCTGACACAAGTGACCACATTTACAATTTCAGGTTCTGTTATAAGGACTTGAATGTGTTTCTTACATTAACACATAATTCCAGCTGATAAAGTAACAAATTCCCAGCGAGAGATATTTTTTTCTGCGAGAGGATTCTTGAACAACTGAAAGCGATTTCCCCCGATGCTTTTAGTGAAGGCTGTGAAAGTAGATTGGAGATGAGGGAGAGACAAAACTCTTTTGTCCCTAAAGAATGTCCTACTACCAAGTATTTTATTCAGGGAACATCACTTTAATATGCAGACAACACCACCGTCATCGGGCTCGTCTCAGGAGGTGATGAGACAGCCTATAGAGAAGAGGTCCGGAAACTGACGGAGTGGTGCGCGGTCAACAACCTACTGCTTAACTCAATACGAACTAAATAAATCATTATCGATTTCAGGAGAACTAGCATAGACCACGCCCCCCTCTACATTAACGGGGACTGTGTAGAGAGGGTGCCTTCATTTAAATTCCTGGGAGTCCACATCTCCCAGGGCTCACTGGTCACAACACCACGGCAGTGATAAAGAAGGCTCAGCAGCGACGACTGTCCTTCCTGAGCGGTCAGAAATACCATCTGAATCAGAAGCTGCTGGTGACCTTCTATCGCGTCTACAGTGGAGCGTCTCATGTCATCTCTGCCTTGGTATGCAGGCGTGCTCGGGCTGCCTACCAGGAAGCCTCTGCAGAGGGTCATTACGGCCAGAGGATTATGCTGCCTCTGCCCTCCCTGGAAGACATCACCACTCTCGCTGCCTCAGGGAGGATCCCGTACCATCCTGAAGGACTCATCCCACCAGCCCGTCATCTGTTCGACCGCTGCCTCGGCAGGCAGCTACCGCTTCAGAAAGCCGCACATCAGACTTCCAAACAGTTTTCTTCCATGGGCCATTAGGACATTAAACACCACACAAATACTCTCCACTTATCCCCACTGTACAATTATCAGTTCTGTCTCTATGCTTATATTTATCATATATATTTTATCTAATTGTATTTTATTCATTTTTTTATTTATTTATTTATTAATCCTGGTATCTACATGACGATCCGTAGCTGTGTGCACTACTTGCTGGTGTAACTGTCAGCCTTTTATCTGTGTTAATATTTCTGTTTTTAAAGCAACTCGCTGAGCAGGACTATAAATCTCGTTGTATTCTGTCCAATGCAATTAAAAGCTTTTGGAATTTGAATTTGAATTTAATGCTGTGTTTCAGAGTGACATTGCTTGAGATGTTTTTTCTATTGTTTAAATTCACAAGGCGGGCTGTGCAAAAACGATCGTGCTCTACATCTAAGCTGAGATGATGAAGAGCATGCCCTTGCTAGTTTTCGCCACATTTGTGTTAGGTAAGGACACAGATGGACTTCAGCAGAAGGTGAACATTGAAGGATACAGGGACTGAATTCACCAGGTTAATATTTCGTCTACCGTCTCGTGTCCTTTAGCGTAAAACAGGTCACAGGCTGGAAGATTAAAATGGACATCATACGCAAGGACCTCTTCAAGCATTTACCTTTGTTGTCATCAGTGTTGTTTTTAGGCTGTAAAGTAAACAACTCACACATGATTTGGATTAAGGTGGCAGGCCTTTTCAGGGATCCGACTGATTGGTGGTTCTGTAACTTTAAAACTATGAAGCGTGGTATATCTCGTTTGTCTGTGTCCTTCTTATATTTCCTGATACATTATCGATTCACGCTTGGTAGGTACTATTGTGCGGACAGTAATAAATTGCTTTTGAAATTGGGTACATTTTGACACACTCAAGTTATAACTGGAATCAACACCGAAGGAGGGCTCTGCAGCTGCAGATGCCTGAGTATACCAACTGAAATAATGGTTGCCATAACTGCGAGTCACTTAGACTTATTTAACCACGTCAGCACGGCATTCAAAGAAATAAGCGGCATTCAATGTGGCAACAGGCTGGAGAAAATTCGTTTAAGCAGCAACTCATCAAAGGAATTATCCATTTAGCTATCATATCTATCCATACTGACAAAAAAGTTATTGATCTTATAGAACGAATGCTTTTGGAGGCGACAAGGGTACCGTAGGAGCTCAAACTAATTGACAAAACAAGGTTAGAGTTGACTCGAGAAATTCTTACAAATAATAATTGCTTTTGTCAAACTCAAGAAGATACATAGTACAATTTAATTTGATTTTACATTGACTTGAATTTCAAGGTACAATCAGTTCATGCTACTTTAAAATGATCACGCTGTGACTCCCGCCTCGTCTTTCTCTTCTACATTCAAAAGTCTGTTTCAGGCGTTTGTCCTTTTGCTAGATTCTTTCTTTTTTTTGTTCTCTTTCTGTCTCCAAACATGACACAAAACTTCTCCTAGTCTATTCTCTATCTTTGTCTTGCCAGCGTGCTTATATTCTTTTTGNAAGTACGAATCGGGTGACCGTCAGGGGAGTCTCAAAAAACCCACACACGACTCTGAACCTGCAAACACAAACCGCTTTCTGTGCATGGATCGCTGTGCATTCGTGTGTGGGTTTTTTGAGACTCCCCTGACGGTCACCCGATTCGTACTTGTAATTTTTCTATCTATAGCCAATCAGATGTCTCCTCAAGTCTAAGCCAATCACATGAGCGCGCCCCCACGAGGGTATGATTTCTTGCGTTCATGACACTTCATATACGCATTTTGCGCTGTCCGGTCAGCTCGCTAAACAGAGGGCGGAGCATCAGTTGATCATGCAGAGCTGCGTGTCTCCGTCAGACCCAGCAGCTGATCTGATCTCTCTCTCGCGTCCGGTTATACTTCACTCGCGTTTATGTCCATCAGATCCAGCTCTCCTGATCGGCCTTTATAGAGAGCACCGATCGATCAAACTATTTAGAGTGAATATCGGCCGATAATGACCGGCGGGGCTCCCCCCCGTTGACAGTTCACTGTCTAGCACTGGCTTCGTAGTGCACCGATCGATTAGGCTAAGCTAACCTGTAGCTGCTCCCTCCACACTCACAACAACTTCATGCAGACATAAATAAAGCAGCTGTATTCGCCATACAGGAAACACACATTTAAAACGGTTTTGCCTGCCGTTTTTGTGTACACAAGCATTCAATAATGGTTCGGAAAGAGGCACTGTACCTTAATAATATAAAGGCTTGTATTTGCGTGCATTTCCTTTTCGAAAACTGAGAGTGGAGGTGTCCTGAGATTAGCGCCTGCAGGCAGGCTCCATGGACCTGTCAGCTCCGGACTGCGCAAAATGCGTACATGAACATGTACATGAGCGCTACGTCATGAACGCAAGAAATCTACCCTCGTGGGGGCGCGCTCATGTGAATGGCTTAGAATTGAGGAGACATCTGATTGGCTATAGATAGAAAAAATTACAAGTACGAATCGGCTCACCATCAGGGGAGTCTCAAAAAACCCACACACGAATGCACAGCGATCCGTGTACAGAAAGCGGTTTGTGTNTGTGAATCCTTTTGTGGATCATGAAATACAAGTGTGAATCCTTCTGTGTGCATGGGTGTATTATGAGACTGTTCTGAGCCCATACTACAT